TACAAGTCGGAGATCGGTAGCGTTACAGAAAAACACTGAAATGTACACTACAATGGGAAAGTACAAGAGGAAAAAAAGAGAGCTCTACTCATGCTGTGCTTCCATGGTAGGACAGGAAACAAAAAAACTCCTCTGCACGAAAAGCACATAAATGTCCACAGCACAACTTTGTGAAAGACATGACAAGCCACAGGATTGGGTGGGGGGTGAGGAGTAATCCGAAGCGAACACAGCAGCCGCCCTGCACAGCGCTACCATCCCAGCGCGGCACACAGACCCGGCGTGTTCCCCCGCAGGAAACAAGCATCGAAGGCGTTTTTCTCCTCCTTCTTCTTCTTCTCCTCGTCAGGTTTTTGTCAAACATTACCAGCAGCTGAGGTTATTTTGCAGCCTGCAGCTGTTTCTAGTCCAGTTTCTTGCATACTTTCAGCATCGGAGCTGAAATCTATCGCGACGCTCAGTCGCTGTGGGAAAAGTGAAGCATGTCTGAATGACAGTCACAGCGGTGTTGTGTATTCATGTCTGTTGAAAGCTTGCTTCATGTGCGCTGCACAGGTAATTTGCTCTGGTGTCTAAATCTGCGTCCTGTCCCTCCCCCACAGGACGACTCCAAACCTCCATACTCCTATGCACAGCTGATAGTCCAGGCCATAACGCTGGCTCCGGACAAGCAGCTCACACTAAATGGAATTTACAATCACATCACAAAGAACTATCCTTACTACAGGACGGCAGATAAGGGCTGGCAGGTGCGTTTCTTTGCCTCAGTGTACAGATTCCTCAGAGACGGTCACACGCGTGACCTCGGTCATCAATAAGTAACTCGAGACTGTTCTCTGTTGCAGAACTCGATCCGTCACAATCTGTCTCTGAACCGTTATTTTATCAAAGTGGCGCGGTCGCAGGAGGAGCCCGGCAAAGGTTCGTTCTGGAGGATAGACCCGTCCTCGGAGGCCAAGCTCATCGAGCAGGCCTTCAGGAAACGAAGGCCGCGGGGTGTCCCCTGCTTCAGGACCCCACACGGACCCCTCTCTTCCAGGTTTGGCTGCGTCCTGACAAATTTAATGGTACATTTTAGCGGACATGGTGTGATTTTTCTCATTCCAACAACTCCTTCTGACTCTCAGGAGTGCCCCGGCATCTCCCAATCACTCAGGGGTGCTCTCCGCGCACTCCAGCGGTGTCCAGACCCCTGACAGCCTTTCCCGAGAGGGCTCCCCAGTTCCCCTGGAGCTGGAGACTTCCTCTGCTCCCACCCCAGTGTCCACCACAGCAGTCCAGCCCAAACTGGCAGTGATCAAGGAAGCACGCTTTGCACAAAACACACCAGGTGCGAGACGACACTTTGCGCCACACATACTGACTGCGCGACTCTTTTCTGTTTCTTGTTCAGTGTGTTAAAACTTTGATTTTTGCTGCGCCAGGCTCGCCTGTTAACAACCAGCCGGTACTCATAGCAGTCCAGCGTCAGTTACCTCAAACCATCAAGCCAGTGACTTACACCATGGCCTCCCCAGTGAGCACCAGCACCTCCCAGCCCACTGTCCAGACTGTCCACGTCCTGCAGCAGATCCCCGCAGGGTCGCTCAGCCCCGCCACCGTCATCGCCCAGCCAGCCACCATCATCAAGAGCGAGACGCAGGAGAATGGAGAGCACATGGAGGTCAAAGGTGAGCCAGCAGCTAGGGCATTCAATTCTCTGCAAGGAGTGTTTTAGCTTTTCACCATATTACACAATATTAGAGATAATGTTAGAGATATTTAGAGATATTTTCCTCCTAACCATGTAAAATAAAGATTTCCTTCATCATATTGATAACTGTTGTTAATTTGTTACTAATTTAAAGAAGATTTTGGTGAAATATTGACCTATAATAATGAAAAGATGAGCAGCGAAGGAGGTGCCAGACTTCAAACAAGACATGGGTGCCATTTTTACTAGCATGTAGCTTGTAGCATTCATACAACGGGGGACACCCCACTGTCGAGGGTCACCGTGATTAGCCACATCGAATCTTTTTAACTAATTAATAG